CATGGTCAAGATCGGGACACAAGTGGAGTATACGTGCAAGAAGGGCAGGTCGGCGGGGAAGACGACGACGGTGGTGACGGACGCGGAGGCCATAAGGGCCATGCTCTACGCTGACGACGCGGCCATCGTCTCGCGCTCGCCGGAGAGTCTCGAGAAGATGATGTCGGTCATCGTGCGCGTGGCCGGCCTGTTCGGACTGATGGTATCGGAGCCAAAGCGGAGGTCATGTGCATGCTGCCGAAAGGGGCCAAGGAACGCCCGTTCACGGTCAGCGCCGCTGGCCAGACGTACATGCAGACAGATCGGTTTGTGTACCTCGGACGTACCATCTCCGCGGACGGGAAGGCCGACCGGGAGATCACGAGCCGCAGCTGCCGAGCGTGGAAGTGCTACCGCCGGAACAGTGCTTCGACGTGCGACAGGCGACGGGCCGACCGCCAGCTCAAGAGCAAGCTACTCCAGGCTGAAGTGGTGGAGACTCTCCTATGTGGGTGCGCCTGGTGGAGCCTAACAGCGGAGCACTACACCAAGCTCAATGGGACCCACCGCCAGTTCCTCACACGGTGCATCGGCTGGAGCAAGCGGAAACGCTCAGACCGCCCCCTGTCCTATGCCCAGGCCCTCATNCATGGAGGACAACCGCCTCCCCAAGCGCATGCTGTTAGGAGCGATGGCGGGGGGCGTGGGATACTGGGGCGGGCAGGAGAGCGACTGTGTGTCTCGTCTAGGAGAGGACCTCGTGGCCCTCAACATGGAAGACCAAAAGGAAGGGGGGAAATGGAAAGAGGACGCCAAGGACCCGGAGGTGTGTTACAACAAGGTCGAGGACGGGGCGGCATGGCTCACGAGGAGATGGCACAGGCAGGAGGCGGAAGCGTCCGCGAAGCACCAGCGCGCGAAGGAAGCAGAAGCGGAGAGTACGGCCATCTCTGCACCGAAGAGAAAGAGAGTAGGGGAAGCGGCGGTGGGGGGGAAGAAACGGCGACCGGGCACTGCTGTAGAAGCGAGTAGGGCGGCCGAGGCAGCACTTGTGGCGAACTATGTACCCGGCTGATGTTGTTGCGCCCTGTTTC